TGGTTGTTCTATAGAAGGACGCAACTTGTTAGTTGAAATTGGAATTGACATTGGAATAGGGGACTTACCATTGAGCCGTGGCAAGGACTCTAGGGCAGCCACGGTCTCAATCACCTCATCATCAAAGGGCACGGCATGGTATTGCATATTGGTGTCGTGGGGTGCCATGGGTGCTGCCACTTGATCCATCACTTCTATGCCACTTGTAAGGATCGTTTCAAGTGCATCTTCATGTAATTGATCAAGGTGTGCCTGCGCCAAAGAATCAAGAATATCAATAGAGAAACATGAGTGATCATCATTAGGGAATCTCATGGTTTCAGAAATATTAAAATCAATCACTTCCCCATCAAATTCCATTGTTAAAGTGCCTTTAAACACGTCGATCTTAGTTCGGGTCGTCTTTATGAATGGCCTCCCAAGACGGAGCGGCAAGGATGGAGCATGGGTGGTTTCTTCCATCTCAAGAACATAGAAATCCGCTGGAAAGATCAAGTTATTCACCTGCACTAAGACATCTTCCACTACTCCCTTTGGATAGGTATTAGATCTATTGGCCAATTGAATAATCACACCATCATTTTTCAATTCACCAAGGTTCATGGATGCATAAATCGAGTATGGCATGACGTTAATTGAAGCTCCTAAGTCTAACATACCATGTTCGAACTTAGTTTGGCCAATAATACAAGGAATTGTAAAGCTACCTGGATCTTTGCACTTTGGTGGTAACTTTCGTTGTAAAACAGCGGAAATGTTTTCACTTACCCTAACCACCTCTTTATTTGAAGCCCTCTTCCTTGTGGTGCAAAGTTCCTTCAAGAATTTGGCATATTTGGGCACTTGCCTGATGGCATCTAGGAGCGGGATATTGACTTGAACTTTCCTAAACGTCTCAAGAATGTCTTTCTCATGCTCCTCCTTCTTTGTTTGCAAAAAACTGTGAGGAAAAGGAACATTGGGTGGAACGGGGTTAGAACTAATCGAATTTGAACTCAACTTACCTTTAGTGGCCGAATTGGATGAATTGGATGCATTAGGGTCCCTAGGTAGTTGCGGCAAGGGTGTTTCTACCCTTGCCGTGGCCTTGCTTAACTCATCCTCCTCCAATTGCAGCTGCCCCTCTTCATTAGGACCTGTTTTGGATGGTGTGGATGTAGTGCCAACTTCTTTTCCACTTCTCAAGGTGATTGCTTTGGCAGATTCGAACCCTCCATTCGGATTGATAATGGTTGAGCTTGGGAGCTTGCCTTGGTCTTGGAATTGCCCTACAAACTCCACAATCTGCCCAATTTGCTTCCCCAAGTGGTCCACCCTTTTGTCTTGGTTTTGCATTGCTTTTTCTTGATTTTGCAATGCTTTGTTTTGATTCTCTTGCCCCTGAGACAAATTGGTAAGTAACTTAAGAAGTGTAGCATTGTCCAAAGACGTACCTTGATTGTTTTGGGCAGATTGGGATTGGTTTGGATTAGTGAGGTTGGGTTTGGTGTAAAACCCCGGGGGTTGTTGCCTAAAGCATCCTTGTTGTTGAGGTTGTTGGGGCTCCCTCCACTTAAAGTTTGGATGGTCTCTTTAACCCGGATTGTATGTGTTAGAAAATGGATCATTCCTTGGCTGATTTTGGCTTGGAAATCCAATGGCATTTGCACTCTCCCATCCCCCATTCTCAATCAATTGAGGGCACTTTTCCGAAGGGTGTCCTTGGATCGAACATACACCACATACAATTGGTCCTTATATCTTCATTCCTTCGGCCATCTGAGACACAATAGAAGTAAGATTAGTTTAAATGTCAGATTGAGAACTTACCTTATGCACTTGTTGCCGTGGGGGGTCATTTTGCCCAATTCCTTCATATTGTTGTGCATTGAGAGCACGGTTCACAATTAGGTTCTTAGCTGCCATGGGAGTTTTGTCCACCAACGCACCTCCTGCCGAGGCATCGAGCATTTGCCTTTCAATGGGAAGAAGGCCTTCATAGAAGTATTGAAGTAGAAGCTCCTCTTTCATTTGATGTTGAGGATATGATGCAACAAGGGCTTTAAAACGCTCATAGTACGTCGGAAAAGACTCCCCTTGACTTTGTTGGATTCCGCTAATTTTCTTCCTCAAGAGAATGACTCTTGAAGTAGGAAAGAACTTCTCAAGAAACGCCCTTTTCATGCTCTCCCAACAAGTGACCATTCCGGGTGCTAGCTAGTATAACCAATCCTTGGCTTTTTCCAATAGTGAGAATGGAAAGGCCTTCATCTTCAAAATATTGCTATCAACATTGATTGGAGTCATGCTTGAACACATCACCTCAAACTCCTTTAAATGCTTGTTGGGATCCTCCATGGACAGTCCATGGAACTTTGGAATGTGGTGCAATAAACTTGACTTCAATTTAAATTCGTCAGTTTTATCTTGAGCCGCCCTTGGGTATTGGATGCATAATGGTGCGGCATTGTCCATTCCCGAGGCGGAAAGTTCCTTCATTGTACGGTTGTCCGCTGCCATGACTTGGACCTCTTCTTCCTCCCTTGCCGTGAGTTCCTCTTCCTCCTCAAAATTAGAAGCTGAACTAGAACTTGATGGGTGAAGTTCTTGGTCCTTCTTCTTTCTTCTCAAAGTGCGCTCAAAATCGTCGTCAAAATCCAAGATGTTTGCACGAATAGGTTGAGAACTACGAGTCATAAACTAGTACCTACAAACAAGAAAAGAAATAAGGTCAGTAGCTAAAACAAAGATATATGAAAAAGAAACGAAAAGAAACAACGGGGGATTAGCAAAGTTGCTAATCCCTGGCAACGGCGCCAAAAATTTGATGTGATAAATAATAGCACTCAAATTAAACCCTATTTTTGACAATTGTAGTATAGATATAAGTAGGGATCGTTCTAGGCTGGGGATTAGGAGGGATTGCTAATCTAATGGAAACTGACTCAAAGATACAAAAATATGCTTAAAAACACTTAAACAAACTCAAAGACTCTTAACTAAACTTATATGACTCAAATAAAACTTAAAAGACTCAAAACAACTCAAAACAATCAAAAGGACTCAATTTGAACTCTAGGGCTTAATCTGGACGAAAATAGAATTAGTTTTGACTCAAAAGACTCAAAAACACACTTTTGGACATATTTGAAACAAGTAAGTAAAGGGTATTGGGTTTTGGACGAATTTAAAAGAAAAACAAGTAACTAAAAGACTTAAAAGAGATTTGGACGAATTTGAGAAAACCAATGGATGATTAGATAGCTAGAGGATACTTTTCCACACATGATACATTCAAGCACAAGTTGATTTCCAGTTGCTTTTCCGATAAACCATGAACCTCAACACCCCAGATTAACCGTGACATCACTAATTAACCCTCAGATTTTCCTTAAGTTATTGGATTGGATGACATCATACGACAACCCAAAGCATTCTTCAAAAGTTCCCTACATGACATCATAATAGAGATACAATCAAAGATCATTACGTTCAATGAAAATCATAAGTATTGACAAAGCACTCGTAACTATGACATCATGATACTCATGCTAGGAATTTACTTAATTTGATTGGTTTATGCATATTACATATGGAATCAATAAGTTTCCTTGTACATATTTGCCTCATTAATCTGCAAAAAGAATCAAACATGGGAAAGTTTACATGTCATTGTATAGACATCTAACATAATCACTTTTCTTGCTCCATGATTGAACTGAAGATTTTCTTTCTTTAACAACAAAGTGAAATAAAATATAACCTGAAAGTTAAACAATGTAATATGTTTTTAAGTCAACTGAACTGAAGTATGTGACACGATCAGTTAAGATGAATATGAACTTGATTCTCAGATTAAACTGCTAGCAATAAGTTCTAACTTCTAAAACAAAATATACTATGTCTAATATTAGACAAATAAAAGCAAACACCTCAGATATAGTGGCAAAGGAAAATGGAGTTCACCTTAAACCCAACCCAAGAACCTCTCGACACACCAAGAACCCCATATCCAAAGCGAAAGACAGATTTGGCACTCTTGACATATAGAAAGAAACATGTTTTATGTCTATTATAAAATTTAACCGAAAACAAACACAAATGCCATGACAATTGGCATTTTATAGTAAAGGATATTTAAGTTAGCCCTATTTTGAGCAAAGAGGGTTGAATTGCACTCATCAAACTTTGTATTTTCGGACTTGGGTAGCTGTTCTGATACCGAGGTAGTTTATTGGCCTTGCTAATAAGTTGTATGTTATATTGGTTTTTCCCTTTTTTGGCCAAGCTTTGTATTTTCAGTGTTTCAAATATAAAAAAAAAAATATTACACAATTTTCCAATATCATTAAAACACGTCTCACACTACTTTATGTGCTAATATGCCAATGTACACGTGATAGTGGATTAATGACAGAGTCAAAGACATTTAACATGTGTGTGTCTCATAAAAATTTCATTTACCTAGGAATGATGTTTCTTTGGCCCCCAATCATATATGAAAGACATTCTAATCAAAATTATCCCAGAAACCCTCCTGAATATGCATTTGGTTCGGTGCTAAAATTATACCAAAAGTAAATAAACAGCATTTTACAGGTTAGCAACTTAATCATCCAATTTAAAGCAAAAGTAACTAACTGGAGATGTGAACATGCATTTGTGGGCACATGACTGTGACCCCAGCTACCCACAAAGGAAGCAATAAATTTTTCAACATTGAAGGTGAGATGTTAGACATTAAATGAGTGTACTTTTATCTCTTTTTCTGGAATCTAAAGTTATACCAAAACTAAATATATAGCATTTTCCAGGATTTCAACATAATCATGCAAAAAGAACCAAAGCAAAGGTAATTAACTGGAGATGTGGACGGGAAAATGCTAAAAGCAACCTAAAATCAACATTATGCATATATATATATAAAACAAAAGTTATACCACATCTTTCAATTGCTATTGAGGCCTCCTCCATTGTGTACCCCATATTGACCAAGGCCTGTATCTTCTCTTTCTCCGATGTAGAATTTATGTTTTCCTGCAAAATAGGTAATGAAATTTCTATGAGATACACACATCTGTGAAATGTCCTTGACTCTTCGTCACGAATCCACTATCATGTGTACCTTGGCATAATAGCACATAAAATAGTGTGAGACGCGTTTTAATGATATTGGAAAACTATGTAATATTTTTGTTGCTTGAAGGATTGGGGAAACAGAGAAAATACAAAGCTTGGCGAAAAAGGTAAAACCAATATAACATACAACTTAGCAAGACCAGAGTTGGATGCTGGGATATATAACAGAGTTGGATATCCACTTTGACCCACTCTTTCTGCAAACAAAAACCAGAGTTGGATGTTGGGATACATATAGCAAGTAAAAACTAGAGCAGCAAAGATGTCAGCTTTACTCGAAACGAATTATAATTCAAAACCATGAACTAGGTTAAATGCCACAAATCTACCAAAAAGGAAATTCCAATTTCGCTCTGTTCAGTTTAAAAAGCAGATCGTATTTGTTGACTATGGCAACAATGAATAACCACAACAATCCACGATTCTCACGCGAAAATCCACACCCATCCAACAGTCTACTTCTTCGATGTTGAATGTGGGATAGCAGGCAATGAGGGCTTTGAAGGCTACCCCTCTGCCTCTTTCCTTCTGTCTCTTTCCCTCTGTCAAATTTTTGACCACATGGATAACGAATTACAACTTCTGCTGTAAACAACACCACAGCTAAACCCTAAATATGGCGCATTTTTTCCAAATCCCACCACTCATTAATACATACAACCCATTTGCACATAAACAATTAGAACTAAGTGGAAAAAAGAAGGGAAAAGAGAGAAAGAGAGAGAGAGAGAGCAAAGAAAAGGCTTATATAAACTATCTTATGACTAAATGCGGTCTTAAGAAGAAGACGAAGAAGAAACAAACCGAAAAGGGAGAGTGAACGAAATGAAGCTCCTTCCAAGCTTCGCCGTGAAATGGGAAACTCAGAATGGACCTGTGCTGCTGCCTAAATCATAAGCATTGGAAATTTGGAAGCAAAAGAGCAAAACCAGAAGCTGCACTCTCCCTTCTCTCTCCAAGAAACTCTTCTTCTCCATAGTCAAAGGAGTAGGAGGAAATTATTTGCCAGAGAGCGGAGTAGGTGGACTCACTCACTCGATGCTATCCTTGTTATTATTATGACTTCAAAATCTTCTACACCCAATTTTACCTAAGGCCTCTCTGTGACTTAATCAGATTTTGACACGTGTCCACAACGAACTTCAACTCTAGCCGGCTTTACCTATCAGAGTAAACATGCAACACAAAATAAAATCAAGTAGACAAAAAAAAAAGGAAGGAAGATCATGCCACAGAAGAGGAACCGCCTAAAACTCATCTCCTCAATCGAGGAACTCCGCCCCATAATCCAATAAATCGCCTTCTCCGAAGTTCTACAGAACAGCCTTCAGCTGGCCCGAAAAGTCCTCGCGACGCCGCGCTGGAACTTGTACGAGACCATACAATTCACGGAAAATATGGAGTCGTTTGAGAAGACGGTGTCCAGATTTCTTCAAGGCCAGTTGCAAGCTGCAGGCCCACATCTTGGCTAACGTCCACCACATGAAGGCGGAGGCGGCTCAGCGGTTCGACCGGCTTGATTGGTCGAGCCGGATGCTGAAATAGCGGCTTGGCGCCTTAAATATTGGAAATTGCGGCGGTGGGTGGATGAAAGAGGCTGTGAGGAGGAGGCACCTCAACGACATCAGGGGAGAGGGAGGGAGAGAGAGAGAGAGTTCTGTGTGATTCTTCGTTGGTTTTTTTTTTTCATTTTGTATTTTGTATTTTTTAGAGTTAAAACGGCGGTTAGAATTAAGTTAGTTGTGGACACATGTCAAAATCTGATTAAGTCACAAATTATTGGGAAATTTGAAAAAATAACTAAAATCTAGATTCAATATATAATTATAATCATCCTTTTAAGTTTATCATAATTATAGTCAAAACTATATAGAAGTACTAATATACCCTTAATTACTAAAAGCCTTCAGAAAATGAAAATAAACTTGATCATCATTGTCGACATCCCGCCCTCTCTCACATACTGATCCCAATGGAACTTGAACCTTAAATTCCTCTGCCAATTTATGGTTGAATTGAATTGCACTGCAGATTAGACTGACAGCACAAATTCGAAACAAATCAAACAGAACCCTAGAAAATCAAACCAAACCCAAATTCGTCAACATCATTCAAAAGTTTACTTTTCTAGGGCGACTTTGTTACAGAACATAGATTCAGGATATGGTTTCATATCCTTCCGTTCTTCCTCCTGCCCCAGCTGCAACAGGTTTTGTAATCACTACAGACAAATATGAATTATGCACTGATCCCATTGTCTCCATTTATTCCTGCATTCCTATCATTCTCCCCTGTACCTGCCTATATATTAACACCTAACCCCTCCCTCCCCATAAGCCCCTCATCTCTCTCTCTCTCTCTCTCTCTCTCTCTCTCTTCATTGTAAATTTTAATATGGCATGGGTGACTCAGAGAATGATGTTATTATGGACATGGTTTCTAACAAAATTGAGAGGTGCCACTGGAGGTGTTTTGTACATGATGGGTATGGGAGCATCGTGCGGTAATAGCGTTGCAAAAGCTTCCGGAGGCACATTATATTTTTAACGTCAAATTGTAGAAAGGGCATGATTGCATTAAGGATGTATTAGTACCTTCACATCAAATTTTGGTTATAATTACAATAAATTTAAAATGATGGCTATTATTCTACATATATCTGAATTTTATTTATTTTTCCAAATTTTTGAATAATGTAGATGCAGAGGCGAGGAAACCCAGACAGAGACAAGATCAAGAGACGGAAAGCTTCTTCACTTTTTAAGTTACAGAGTTGCAGCTAACAATGTGGAGTTGGGCCTCCATCTCACTCTGGATCATGCCCTTTTTAACGTTTTTTTTTTTAACTTTTTGAAGTTAAAAAATGTGGGTGATTTTGTTTTAAATAAATAAAATATTACATTATTAATATATATTAACATTTGCCTACACACTCTATATGTATGAACACATTTTTTATAAAAAATGAGAAGGAGAGAGGAAGAGAAAGAGAACGTGGGAGGAGTAAGAGGTTTTTTTTTTCTTTTCTTTTATATATATATATTAGAGGTATTTTAACATCACATGTAGGTGAGTCTTCAATAAAAAACAGTAAAATTTGGACTTGTGAAATTACATTATTGCCCATCAATTTTTTTTTTTTTTTTTGTGTGATAAAGGACTAAGTAGTCTTCACCCTCTTTTGGTTGACAAAAATGATTTAATTAATTAATGGATATATGTTTACAATATCTATACTAATTATAAATACATTAATCAGATCTTGTGGTCATCAATGCATTTAAAATAAACAAAGATTGCAACTTATGTTATTACACAAAAACTGGCACTACAGTTGGCAGCCATTTTCTTAATTTTTTCATATTCAAGAATTGGTCAATCCGACTTTAGACTACGTATTATTACTTATGCAATTCAAATGTTTTTATGGTAGTTGAATTAATCATATCAAATATTCACTTTAGTATGAACCTTTTGGTAGTTCATTTTTCTCTTCATTTGCCTCAACCATCCTTAGTTTTCATGGTTTGGTTCACCTATAAATATAGTTGGTTTTGCCTTCCAAAATTCTACTTGTATCCTCATAACTCAACCTTCTTCAGTTTCATGATGTCGGTGTAACATCCCGTCCCGAAATTATCGAAAACTCACTTGTGTGAAAAGACATTTTTACCCCTAGTTCGTTTCTTTCACGTTATTGGTTGTTTTGTGTGGTGTTGGCATGTGTTGGGCCACACACACACTGTCACTTTCCCTCACCCTGTGTCTTTTCCCCTGTCCCTCTCCCGAGCTCCATTCCTTCCCTTTCTCTTTGAAAACGTACGGACAAACCCAAAACCCCTCAAACCTCTATAGATCGAGGAAACCAAGGTCACAGTCGAGATCGTGAAGCTCGTGGGAGTCCAGTCGTACCATTTTCAGGTGAGAACTCCGTCGTTTTCACGTCGATTCGACGATGTCCGTTTTGAGTACTATTCATGCAAAAATAATTTAGCAAGTTTTTGGGATTTTGAAGCTCGTAGGTGACTTAGTGAGGTCCCAAGGAGTCTCGGAGTACTTCGTTTGAAGAATTTTGACGTCGGAATCACTGTGTTTGGAGTTGACCGGAGTTGGGTGGTTTGGACAGGTAAGATCTCGTAATTTTTTACTCTTGAAAATTGTATATTTATGTTCTCCTAGTTCTAGGCATCATTTTGGTACAAAAATCGTGAAAAATGGTTGAAAAACGAGAGAGAAATCGAAGGTTGAAGTTTTTCCAGTTTTCCGGCGCCGGCGACGACGCCGGAGGTTCACCGGAGAAGGAGACGGAATATTCCGTCAAGTCTGACGGAATATTCCTGACGCCGTTAACGGAATCTGTCAAAACTGACGGAATATTCCTTACGGCGTCAGTTGACGCCGTCAGCGTGCCAGGCACGTGCCTGCGCGTGGCTGGCGCGTGTGGCCGTGCCTTGGCCGGCGCGTGCGGCGGTGGAAAATTTTTCTAAAAATTTGGGTGTGATCCTGAGGTTGTGTAGAGCATGTTGGTATATTCATTTCTCCAATTTGAGCAATGTATGAGAAGTTATTACGAGAAGTTGGTTATGTGCTTTAAAATTAACGTTTTTATAGTTATTTCGCATATAGGTGATACGTATCCCGAGGACGAGCGTGGTCACTCGAGGCAGGGGGGCTACGACCCTTCCACTTACCAGTGAGTGGGCTTTTGGTTTTCCGTATATACCTATATACTATATTTTTCCCAGAAATTGATTTAAATGCTTATTAGTTATGTCATGCATTACATTATCGTTATTTATGCATCGTTGGTTACGTTAGTAGTTGCATATATATATACATATGCATATTGGGTGCTGTGGATGCACAGGTAAGTGCCAGGTAAGTGTTATTCATGTTTACATTCAGTAGCGATTCGAGATACTTAGAGAGCTCATAACCTGCACCCCCGGTGTTAGTGCTCCTGCCCAGAGTAGGGCACAGTCCTTCACGTGATGTTCACCTCCCGCACCACACGCTCAGCTTGGATCCAAGTTAGGTGCACAGTCCTGTCGTACAGACCACTTTAGGTGGTTCCGACTCGTAGGTGACCCGCGAATATTCGCCCAGCCTTCACGTGATCGTAGCACTAGAGCGTATACATATGTATTATACCCAGGCCTGTCGTACAGACCACCTTAGGTGGTTCCGACTCGTGGGCAGGTTCAGTTATTGAGTTTGAGATTTGAGCTCTAGATGCAGCCGTATAGGTCACGTTAGGTGACTCCGGCTGCCAGATTACATGTTATTGATATGATTATACCTGAGCACTTGCATATCATTATGAGGTTTCGACATGGCATATTATTGAGCATGTTTGGCATATATACTATACGTATATCTATTTTCTGGGAAGTATACAGGTTTTACGGCGAGGGGTTAGAATGTATTTGATTAAATGGTTTTCTAAAAGCTTTGTTTTTGCCCACTCACGCTTTTGTTTTGCGCCCCTCCAGGTTCTAGTGGTCTAGCAGGTTCGGTGGTTTCCCAGAGGGCTTTTCCGGCATTTCTGACAGACACTCACCATTGTAGGGTCACCTTCGGGTGTACTGTTGTCGCATCTTTTTCTTTTGGACTGCTGTAGACTGATTGCTCTGAACTTAGCGTCTCACTTACGCTAGCACTGGTTTTTATCACTTTGTATGCTAGTTTTTAATGATTCGTACTTTTTCTCACTATTTTACTAGCTTCCGCACGTACACATGGTTACGTCACCTCTGCGTGGTGGCCAGCACGCCCTGATCTCAGTCGGGGTGTGTCAGTTGGTCTTGGTTATTACTATATCTAATTGATGTGGATGATGCGAGATTTATACGCGCATAAATTAAACCCTCTTTTTATCGATTGTAGTAAGTATGTAAGTAGGGATCGTTCTGGACCGGGGATTAGGAGGGATTGTTAATCACTTGGATTTGACTCAAAAACGTAAAAACAAAGTTAAAAACGTTCACAAAGACTCAAAGGACTCAAAACAAGTTCAAAAGACTCAAAACTGCCTAAAAACACTAACTAGGCAGTTTCTGACCTTAAACCCAATGTTGGACGAATTTAAGATTATGGCTTGATTCAAACGTAAAAACACAATATAAAACACTAAACTAGACTCAAAGAATGTAAAACTAAACTTTAAAACACTAAAACAAACCAAAAGACTCAAACATCACCCAAAACACTCAAAACTGCCTTAAAAACACAATCTGGGCAGTTTTGAGCACTTTTACTACTTTAGACGAAATTGGGTAATAAATTGATTCAAAACACTTAAAAGCACAAACTAAATTGATTTCTAACTAATTTGACATTAAAGTAAAGGGGGAAATAGGTTTTGACGAAATTAAACTAAATGAACAGATTGTAAGTAAAAACAGATAATAAAGATGAATTTGATGGAATTGAATGGATGGGAACCTAGCTAAGGGGTTCATCTCCATACATGTTACACTTGCATAATAAAATGATTTCCAATTGCATTTCAATAAACCATGATGCTCAACACCCCAAGTTAACCGTGATGCACTAATTAACCTTCAAATCTTCCTAACGTTATTGAATTGGATGATGCATGCGACAATTCAAAACATTCCCCACAAATCCTCAACATGAATGCAT